AGTTATATATATTCATAGATTTGTGAGTTAATGTGTATATAACGCGAAAGAACAATACACTGCAATTTTTCCACATACATATATCCGAAACACACGTACACAGACAGATATGTAAATTCATATACATATATGTTTTTAAATGAATACATACATAATTGCGCACATGTATACAGACATCCCAATGTTTGTAGGCGAAGTAGGTTCTCGGAATGCTAGTGCTTGCACTGCTATTGCGCAAGACTCAAGACTTCCACACAAACCAACACGTGCATATTTCGTATACAATACTCCTAGCCCTATTCAACAAGCACAGCGTGTATAAAAAGAATAGAAACCAAAGAACTACCTTCGCTGTAGTCGCTTTGCTGTTGAGTTTAGTATAGTCTGCGGTTGGGTTATCTCCTCCCGTTTGCTTGACACCCTCGGCACTTTTTCCACGTATTGATTTCTCGTCTTTCTCAATGGCTGTCACTGACTTTGCCCTGACCTCGTGCTTTTTCATATCGATGCTTTAGGTGCAGAAGGTAAAAATAGAAGTTAGCAGTGATGGCAGGTTAGTACATACACTGCTCTAGGCAGGTAGACATAGACTGCAATACTCGAACGATAACTTGGTGGCTTGTTCTTGTCCCTTTCATATCGATGCTTTGCGTGCATAAGGTAGCCAAAACTAGCAGCGATGGGAAATTATCATGTACACTGACCTAGGCAGCTAAATATGGATAGGTTACATACGCGAATGAAAACTTGGTACCTCGACCTCGTCCTTATTCATATCGATACTTTAGGTGCAGAAGGTGGCCGAAGTTAGCAGCCCTGTACGCTATGCTGGTACATTCAACTACCCGAGCACATATATACTGATCAAGGTAGGTAAACCTATACTACATCACTCGAATGACCACTCGGCCACACGACGACGAGCTTATGATTTACACGATCAATTTGAAGTGTACACAATCCTAATAGGAGAGAAGGCAATGGCGCTGGCAAAACAAATACGAGTCTATTCTACCACACAAACACTCGTACATCTGGGAGCATAAAGCGAAAGAACTGGTATGTCCTCTATAGGACTATAAGACAATAGGACAATAGGATGACGTTGTGGTGTTCAATGGTAGGCGAACAAACAGAAGCCTATTCTCCCACAGAAACACTCGTACATCTGGAGCACAAAGCGAATGAACCAGTACGTCCGCTATACGACTATACGACAATAGAACTATAAGACAATAGGACAATAGGATGACGCTGTGATGTTCAATGGTAGGCACGAAGCCTATTCTCCCACAGAAACACTCATACATCTGGGAGCACAAAGCGAAGAACCAATACGTCCGCTATAGGACTATAGGACAATAGGATGGCGTTGTGATGTTCAATTGGTAAGCTTGTATTGACTGGAGACAGCCACCCCCTTCCGCCATTTGCAAGCACCGCAACGGTCTCAGCTATGTAGCAGCACACAGAGGCTAAGGTTGAAGTGGAGGACCTAGCCCGTACACTATTGTTCATATCCAGTACTGTACTAACTAAACCCTACAATTGAAGTGCGGTACCTACCCTATGTGCTGGGCAAGCTCTGTTGTTAGAGGATCCGGCAGGTAGTCGCCCATGAGGGCTACGGCGTACCGTCTGTGTGCATCTAGAAAGGAAAAGTTCGGTACTGGTTAGGACAGGTGCTTATATTCGTAAACAATGTCTGACAATGTCATACACTTCGAAGGAGGAAAGTTGGGTACTGGTATAATATGATAGGTGGTTGAATTCGCAGACAATGTCTATGTTAATGTCTGATTGCTAATGTTGCAGGATTACACTTCGCAGAAGAGAAGTTCGATACTTGTTAGTAGAGGTGTTTATATTCGTCGGCAATGTCCATGCCAGTGTCTGATAGTTAATATTGTGCGAATACACTTCAAAGAAGGAAACTTCGGCACTGGTCAGGATTGGAAGCTCCAACATGAATTTTAGTTACTTCAGTAGTTGTATAGTACTACAGTACAATACTTTACTATACTTGTAAGTATCTAAAGTACATGCAACTATAGTACCATACTTGTAAATTACTATAGTACATGTAGATGCTATCGTAATATTCTTTATCAACGTGTACAATGACGGCAATCACACATATTATTTATGCACGCGTATGTATTTTTCAAACCGGGTTTATATACGT